TTTCTTGAAAAATAAATGTCAATTGCCTAAAACTAGGCGTGAATGTGAAATAGCTGTGACAGTAAAATAGGTAATTTCATAATAGGTAATATTTCCTGTCGCGGTTCGATCTGCGTGTTGTAAATTTTTGTGAATTTTTTTTTTTTTGCTGGAGATGTTTGGGCATAGGTCAACACCTATTTTTTGGCAATTTTCCATGTTCATGTTCAGGATCCTGGGCCCTTACCCGGACAACTATTGTAATATTGGTGTAACCTACCATGTGTGCTTTGTGTAGATGCCACTGCAGTCAATCCATTCTCAAGACTCAGTAACACTCCTTTTCCTTGTACATCATTGACTGTTGCTTTTACCACATCTCCTATTGATAACTGGCATATATTCTTTTTGTCTGCAACTGAGTTAACATAAATATGACACAAAACCCACTACAAAAGATATTTCATTTGACATGGCACTCAAGGAAATCAATAAATAAATTTCCAAGAAATTAGACACATTCCTGAGTTTTTAAGACATAATTCACCACCAGTCTACACTGTCACAGGAGGATTGTTTTGGGTCAAAATAGAATCCTCCCAAATCAAATTGAGTCATCTTGTTGACTTCTGGGAAGAGAGGTCAACTTAATTTTTATTAATATTGAATAGAGTGGCAAATGTACAGATGGGTCAACACATCAATGGATGGATATCAAGCTGTTTATCAACATGGTGACTAATTGATTACTGTGACATCTAAGGTATCGTGTGAAAGGCGAGGATCAAATGTATGCGCCAAAAATTACATGATTTAATTTTAATTTGTTTCAAATGTGTAATATTGCATTGAGATGTCCTTACTTCATTAAAATCACCAAATGTGTAATAGCACATTATGAAGCACGGAAATACCCTGAAATACTACGAATACTATGTGACCTTTATTTGTCCTGTTTTTATGTATGATTTCATGTATAACACGGGATATTGCAGTGAACAGAAAAACAAAAAAAATATTTACTTTCTTTGAGCAATTTGCATGCTTTCTTTCTCTCCTGTAGATATTCTTCAAGTAATGTGACACCACCATCAGTATGTTTGTAGCAATGTGATGGTCGTAAACTCACAATAAATCTCTTCTTTTCAGTATTTATTTCTAAAACTTTTGCTTTGACTGACTGTCCATTCTTATAAGGAACTCCAGCATCATCCACGAATATATCTCCCATGTACTGTCGTTGAAAAAAATCAAGACATTTACCAGCAACCAACAACATCAGCTAAAAAAATCTGAAATATTTTTTACAATACTGGATTCCCTTCACTGGGCATGTGTTGTTTTAAAAACATGCAAGGTTTTTTTTTCTTTTTTATAACTCAACAAAACAGTATCTTATTACAAAGAAGGGACTAAAACTAATGTATGCACCACAACACATTCTATTTTTGTGGTTTCAATTAAAAGTCAGCTACTGTAGAATACTTTATTTCAGCTAGGAATTTATTTTCGCTATTTTCGCTGAAGGGATGCTTCAGTGAAAATAAAATCCAGCGAATATACTTTTTTACTATGTCTCGCATTCAACTCAACAAAAGTTAGTGAAAATAAATTCCATACAAAACACCCAAAAAGCTTTTCCAACGAAAATTAATTCCTGCTAAAATAAAGTATTTCACAGTATTTTGGACAAATAAATTGCCGAATTTAATCAACATCTGAAATTAAACCAGAAAAAATAAAGATTAATTTATCCATATAATCTATATACAAGTGAGGGTTGTGAATAAACTTACCAGCTTGGGAGCTAGTCCAGTAATATTATTAGGAAAACCTACAAATACACCATATGGCATAATCTGTTTAATGAATCCATTGAGTACAAGATCCACATATAAATCACTGAAGTTAGTCACACACTGGTTGTCTTTGACAGCTTGAATCAAAGATGTCTTCATCGTAACAGTCTGTAGACAAAGGTTAAGGTCCACATAATTAAAAGTGCAACTTTGTTTTGCATAACTTCTTGTATATTTCACTTCATTTATGTCATTATCACATGTCAACATTGATTTGGATGATGACTGTGGCATTCACATATGTCAACGAATCACATTATCTCTCAATACTGATACAACATTTGAATGTATTCGGCAATACAGTGAAGTTTTTATGACATACCACTGACAAAAAGATGTTTTGAGACCAACTACTTATGTTTATTACACTGATGATGTGACTCATGTAACATTGAAGTGAGGCGACTATCACCTGATATCATAGGCTCCATTATTCACAAGCAGAAGATTAGTGGATCATACAGCCTAGGACGCCACAACTACCAATCGGCTCAACGAACAGGTGATATCAGGAGACAAACTTACAACGTCAAAACAACAGAGTAATTGTGAATTTACGAAACTAAGGTTGTATGCTAATTTTATGCTAATTGTATGCTAATTTATGCCAATAAGGTGTGCCATCCAAGCACATCCATTCAGTGAAAATGCATTTTGTACTTATGACCAAAAATGGTTATCAAAATTGACAGAAATATTACTCTTCTTTAATAGCAATATTTAAAAAAAAATCGTTATCGAGCTATGCAATATGTGACTAATTGTTGTTATCCAATCTAAAATTGTCATATTGCAATGATAACAAGCCATGCATGGCACAGTCCCTGTTAGTTATCGAATTTAAGATATATAGTTTTGTTTATAGTTACCGTAAAATTCCTAATTGAGGCCGCAGCTTTAATTAAAATTCATTTTTTCAATGGACGAATTGAGATGCGTGAAGTCCTGGTGCGGCTTTAATTAGAGCATTCACTTCAGTAACAGTGAGAAATTTTTTCAAAAAACAAAGGCCAGAAGGGATAATGATATGCTAATGAGATGCACAACACTCGATTGCAACTTTGTCGCGATTCCGAAAGCGCACTTTCGGATTTTTCCTGGGATTAAAACTTGTCAATTTCAACATGAAACAATGTCTTAAGTTAGGGGGTGCGGCTTCTATTAAAGCTGCAGCCTCAAATATGATTTTTACAGTATATAGCTGGAACATAAACATGTCAGGAATATGATTATGATGATTGTTTAACATTAAAATGATTGACATTTGTATCTGATCGTCAAATGAGTATTGAGAGATATTGCTCTGGAACAGCATTAATTAAAACAAAATCAGCCATTTTGAACACCATAATGTCTAATGTATGTACCAAGTTTGAACAAAACCCATCCATAAATGTTTGATATTTGATGATTTTTTTAGTACAAATATGGCCACCATTCTGCCATTTTTAATAAGATCGTCAAACCAATATATCTGTATATCTATGACATGATGTATAATGAATATTTAAAATTTGAACATAATCTGTCAAACTAGTCAGAGATATGACACTAGAACCACATTTATTAAAACAAAATGGCCACCAGTCAGCCATTTTAAATCTTATCTGAAAAACAAAATGATGTACATCAAGGTTCTATAATATCCAACGTATATACCAAGTTTGAAAAAAATCCATCAGTAAACAGCCGAAAATGGTTGATTTTGATGTTTTTGTAGCACAAAAATGACTGCCATTTGGCCATCTTGTAATATCATGTATGATGTATGTGTGATGTTTTATTGTGATTGGTCAAGGCATTTTTAAGATACAGGTCCGGACACACGGAGGTCAAAACATAAGACCGGAATTATTTCTTCTTAAATTTTATTGGTACTGAAAGTATATTCAAAGAGAAGTTTCAAATAAAAAACGAACACAACTGCAATGCTTAGTAGCAAATGATTGTGGTAGCGCAATCCGGCCACGCTTCATTTCACAATTTTTATTACTACTCAGTAGTGATTATAATACCGGTAACATACAAAAAATAAATTTGTTGAATTGTAAAGAAATGCAAATAAAATTCAACTTAGTTTTATTGTGAGCGAATGATTCGGGTCGCAAATTATAAATGCTTGATGCTCTAGGCTATAGGATACCCAGTTGAACTGGGAAGGTGTAATTTGACCTGATAGGTCACATCACTAATTAACCAATCAAATAGATGGATGACGGCCAACGTGTTAAAATTACCATAGCTCATTTAAATATGTTAATGTTATTGAACGCAACGCGGAAGTGATTTGTCGATGTTGTAGTATATTTTGGCTTGGATTTTGATGGGAAAACGGCATGATTTTTTTTAAATCAAAAAATTAGTTGTTTTCAAAAGATAAATTGAGCATTAGAAGAATAATTTAACATTGTTTACAGTGATAACAGTTCATTTTCGAAACCAAGCCTACCCATTCACACTAGTCACACTAAACATACTCTTGAATAGGCATCAATGACTACGATAAAAGTTAAATTAGACTAAATTTTAGGTGTCAGGAAAGTTTAAAAAGTCTGAAAAATGATGCCAAAATATTGAAAAATCACCTTAAACAAGCCATGCATGGCTCAGTCCCCGTTAGTTATCAAATTTAAGATATATAGTTTTGTTTATAGTAATATAGCTGGAATATAACCATGTCAGGAATCTGATTTTTTAACATTAAAATGATTGACATTTGTATCTGATCGTCAAACAAGTACTTATCCATATTGAGAGATATTGCTCTGGAACAGCATTCAAAATCAGCCATTTTGAATACATGTATATATATAACATGATGTATAATGAGTATATAAAATTTAAATATAATAAGTCAAAGCATTTAAGAGATATGGCTCTAGAAGCCCAATCATTAAAACAAAATGGCCACCAGTCAGTCATTTTGAATCCAATCTGAAAAATAAAATGACGAGCTTCAGGAACCCGTAATGTCTAATGTATGTACCAAGTTTGAACGAAATCCACCCCTAAATGCTTGATATTTGATGATTTTTTTAGCACGAAAATGACCACCATTCGGCCATTTTGAATAGGATAGTCAAACCAATATATCTGTTTATCCATGACAAGATGTATAATGAATATTTAAAATTTGAAAATATTATCAGTCAAAACAAGTCGGAGATATGACTGCCAGACAGCCATTTTGAATCCGATCAAAAAAATAAATGATGTGCATCAGGAACCTGTAATGTCTAATATATGTACCAAGTTTGAACGAAATCCATCCATAAATGCCAGAAATGCTTGATATTTGATGATTGTTTAGCACAAAAAAGGCCACCATTTGGCCATTTTGAATAGGATCGTCAAACCAATATATCTGTCTATTTATAACATGATGTATAATGAATATTTAAAATCTGAACATAATCAGTGAAAGCAAGTCAGAGATATGCCGCGAGAACCACATTCATTAATACAAAATGGCCGCCAGTCGGCCATTTTAAATCTTATCTGAAAAACAAAATTATTTGCATCAAGGTCCCATAATGTCTATTGTATATACCAAGTTTAAAACAAAATCCATCTGTAAATAGCCGAGAAATGCTTGATTTTGATGATTTTTAGCACAAAAATGGCCGCCATTCGGCCATCTTGAATCAGATCATAAAACAAAATGATGTGCATCAAGGTCCTATAATGTCTAATATATATACCATGTTTGAACAAAATCTATCTGTAAACAGCCAAGAAATGCTTGATTTTGATGATTTTTAGCACAAAAATGGCCGCCATTCGCCCATCTTGAATCATATGTGTGAAGTTTGATTGTGATTGGTCAAGGCATTTCTAAGATACACGTCCGGACGCATGCACAGACCCACGGACGCACACACACACGCACAGGCACGCACGCACGCACGCACGCACAGACACACGGGGGTCAAAACATAAGTCCCCGTTTTCGGACTGCGTCCGAACGGGGACTGAAAACTGCCAAAAAAAGCCCAGGGCCAATTTACAGCAGAATCCAGTAGAGTACAGCTCTATGTATGAATGAATTATATTATTAGACATTGAAATTCATAACCATTAGGCATTAACCATGTTTTAATTCATTCAAGCTAATTAAGAAAACTAATAAAGGTAGCGAGAGGGGAAAAACTAGAAAAAAAAACTTTTTTCTAAAAATCCCGGATTATGCAACCTTATATTGTGTACTTTCTTTATCTTTGGTCCGAATTTACAGTGCGCGATGCATTTGTTGAGTAATTCAATTTATTCCCGGAAACTTAGTTGTAGGTGAACATGTCCTTCCTGCATTTACATATCATGTTGAGTGACGGACTGAAGACAAAGGATTTAATTTGCATACTGATTTGTTGACCATCCAGCTTTATTATATCCTGTGTAATCTATAAGAAGTGTCCGTTATGCGATCGAAGCACAGATAAACATTACGCTATCGTATTCAAGCTTTTCTCGGTGTTTTAATAACCTAATATATCATGGGAAGGAGTTCTAAGATGAAAAAAAAACTGGCCGCCGACAAATGTCCGACACCGTTAAAAGATATCTAAATGAAAATAACCTGGGCTCATATTACA